AAATGCTGAAGACGTTAATTTTGGCGCAACATTTCACATGAAGTGGAGATTTTACGCCGCCGCGTATGTCAAAATTATATTTTTTTTCTTCTAAATTTTGGAATATTTCTTTGAATTTTGATTGTACATACAACTTTGTATGTGTTTTTGCTTTAGTTCCAAATAGTTACAAATATGGACAGTAAATTACAAAAATCAAGAAAACGAAACGGTTGCAACCTTAACCTCTAAAAACGCTGGATTTTTACGCGAAAAGCTGAACTTTGCTCAACTTTTGGCGTATCTGCGGCAGAATGTTAGCGTGTCCAATTAGGCAATTCAAACCAAGTGACATTCAAGATGGCGTGGCGGCCACACATGGGCCAAAAAAATATCTAGTTTCTGCCCGAATTAATAATTTAGGTACCTAGTCAACAAATATTTAATTAAATAATCAAAATCAAAGTTGTAAGGAAAACTGTATGCAAAATAATTTAAAATACGCATGAAAACATATTCAAAACAAACTTGCTTGGCCGCCACACCACATTGAATTTTCCTTTTTGACAGATGGATTGAATTGCCTAATATGGCGGGATTTTGGCCAATCAGAATTCTGCGCCATAAATGTCAAATTACGCTCATGAGAAGCCGCCCGGCGCCCATTCTGTAGCAACTTGCGACCGGTTGCTGGTTGCTATGTAGTTGCTGTTTGTAGAGAATACGCCTGCCCGGCCTTTTGAGTTTTGAGTGGACAAGGACACAGAATATAACAACCTTTCATAATTTGATTATACTGCTTATGATTCAAATTGAATAAAATTGAAACAACAAATTTCGTATTTTTACTACGAGAGCCCGTGACACAAAAGCCTCAGTCATCTGTTAGAAGGCCGTTTTTTGGTGGCCCGGTATGCCAAGTCCTTGGCCAACTAAAAAACGTATTGGTTGGCGGGTTTTGGTGCGCAGAAGCTGAGGGGTGGATGAATTTTCACTAACCCAAAATGAGGCTTTCTGCCTTATGAGTCAGAAGCTTTTTTTTTGTTGTGAATAAATAATATTATAACCTACCGACATTTTCTTGGCTTACCTCCCCACATAACAAAATTGCATGCTTAGAATGTATTAAGAATGTTCTTTTTTTAGGAGGAATGTGCCTAGAATGTTCGCCAAAACCATTGCGTATGTCCTGAGAATGTTCTGAGAAAAGATTGTAGAAATACTGTTTGCAATACCCAAGAACTTCCTGAGAAATCCATTAGGATATTCCTAGAATATACCTATGAGATTCTCAGTATATCCTGAAAAGAATATTCTTGTTTGATTCTAAAAATGTGCTCGATATTTATAGGTATTCTCACATTCAAAGAATGTTTCTATGACATTATAGTTATGTTCTCAAAAGAATATTATACCAATATGCTTGAAATATTCTTAGAATATATCTACATATATCATTCTCAATATGCATCCTAGACATAACATTCTTGGTTGATTCTAAGGATATACTTGGAATGTTAATTTTCGCTTCCAAATAATGCTCCTTTCAGCCCTTTTATATTAAAGGCAGTGAAAGAGTTGTTGGAAAACTTCTCTAGAAAACACAAGTATTTAACCAAAGCTCCGAGCTTGTTATGCTCTCGTCGAAGCACGCCAACTGAGAGAAACAGGTTCCAAGGTGATTCAAACGCGAGGTAAGATGTAGATCTTTAATAGCGCGTGGCTCCCTCTCTTGGAAGTCCTACAAAGCAAAAGGAAAAGAATATACCTATAATATTCTTAGTAGGTTCTAGATAGAGCATTATTGTTTAATTGTTAAATTAGGATTTTTGAGTAGGTACTTCAGATAATTAGGTGAACAATATGAAAATATTGTTATCATGGTTACCTACCTACATAAACTTCTCAGCACAACTTGGTAGGTATATTCTTAATACTTGTTAGAGATATTAGCCGAAAGAACATTTTTTAGGGTACATTATAATAATGTTCGTATGACAATATTCAAAGATTGTTATATAAATTAGGTTCTTAGCACAATCTTTCAGGTAGGTGCATAGAAGCAACATTCCTAGTACATAAATAGAACATTCAAAAATGAATATTTCAATCGAAACAATCTTAGAATATTCATTAAACATTCCTAAAAGAATATTCCAAAAAGCACTTTGAGGGAATATTCTGAGAATATGAATGTTCTTTCACTGTTATGTGGGTCATCCTATGAAGAAATGACTATTTCTCAGGTTAAGAGAAGAAAAAGATTTTTTCTACGAGCGTGTGAAAAATAGGTACTTTGCACACGCAGTTGGTACCGCAAAATTCACTTTTGCGCACTAGTGCGGACAAGAGTTGATTTTGCGCACTAGTGCTGGCAAGATTTAATTTTGACAAAGTACCAGTAAAAATTTTCATGTAAATACCGTTAAAAGGTCTGTTTCCACAGAAATCACAAACCAGTCAGAGCATTTTTGATTGGTGCAAATCCCCAACAACCAGTTTTCTGATTATTTTTAACGAATGAAATTCGCTCTGACTGGTTTGTGATTTTTGTGGAAACAGGCCTTATGATTGCATGAAATTTGCTGTCAGTGTTTATATGTCTGTCACGTCAGTGTCAAACAAATTAATTTATCACCTTTTCTCTGGTCATTATTTTAATTACATCGTGAGCCTAAGCCTACATACTCGCAAAAAAAAATAGGAAACATTGCAGCAGGAGAGAGCAAGGAAACACAACGTTTATTTCAGATAGAGCCGCCAGTGCCTGCAATAGTCTGATACCCCAAAAGTCCTCCGAAAAATCTCTCAATATCGTTCACAATAATCAAATGAAATAATTAGTTTTTGGTTGTTTTTGAGTGTGTATTTTGTTTTGAATTTTTTTTTTAAGTTTATTGTCTCATTTTTTATTTTTATAAACTTTCTCGCTCGTAGAAAAAATGCTGTTCCTGACTCTTGCGCAAAGTGTCTTGTTCGCTGCTGCCCGAACTCCGCTCTGCGTCGATCGGTCAACTGCAGTCGCGTGCGAACAAGACTTACTTTGCGCACTTGTTAGGAAATCTACTATTATATATGGGGTAATTTGTTCGTTTTTTTCACCCTAGAGGCAACATAATCAGCGCGATGTGTTCTGAAAGGCTTGTTCCAACACAGCAGGAAACCGTGCAATGCATCCGTCACGATTCTGCCTGCGCAAAGTATATGTTTGCGGAGAATCTGAAATTCCTATACAGATGGGTTTCGAAACCGTTCATGGGATGATTCTAGACGTGTTGGAACAGACCTGGGTCCTTATTCTTGAAACAGGGGAGCAACATTCCCAGGAGAACAAGTGTCCCGTCTTTCTCAATGATATGTAAATGATAATATGACTAACAAAGACGGAACACTCGTTCTCCTGGGAATGTTGCTCCCCTGTTTCAAGAATAAGAACCCTGTGATCAAAATTCTGGCTGTGATTATTCCGCCATTTGAATTATTTGAAAGAGGTTACTTTAGCCAGAAATACGTTAAATAATACCTAACGGGGTTCAAATTAAATACGATCTCGGTAGGTAGGTACTTACCATAGACATATAATAAAAGAGAGACTGAATTGTTTACATTTTATTTCGATCAAACATTATTTTCGCCAGAAATCAATGTTGGCGAATTTCTGCGGATTGCCCTAGATCTACCGCCTGTGTTTGAAAACGTAGGGAATGTTGATTATATTGCATGCTTTATTTGCGTCATCTCAATTGAAAATGTTACTACACATATGAATGTGCGTTTTTCCCAATATCTGTAATTTTTACTTTTAAATTTATTTAGTTCCTGAATAACGTAAATGTATAATCTATTAGGGAAATAGCTGTGGCAACGCTGTTTACTCCAGTGACACGGGATTTGACAGATTCATTCATTTTATGCACAGTTTTATGTCAAAAATTTACTATTCAGTGTTGCTGTGCTGTGTTTGGGAATATTTTCGATTTTCAATCAATTTTCAGTGTTTTTTCCGTCTTTTATATTTTATTAGCAACTACAATGGTTCGCCAGTGCGTGATCTGTAAAAAATTTGCCTATTTTAAATTTTAACCCTGGATTGATAATTCGACGGTACGTGAGGTTATGTTTTTGTCAGCCCAAGCAGTGGTGTGGTTGATTGTATATTTACAGGTCTTAATTTTTCATGATCTAGTAAAACCGCACGCCTCTGATAAAGGCAGCCGGGGAAATGGAGGGGCAGGTTACAACGGTGCCATTTTTTAAGCCCATCTTTTTCTAACTTATGCATAACTCTGGCGGTAGGTACGATTGTAAACAAATAATGATTTTTGAATGAGATGTTCTGTCTCCTCTTTTACTATATGTCTATGGTACTTACTTTAGTTTCACGTGTTTTCCTAATAGTCCAAGAGCCCAGAGCCGCCAGACACAACTTATTTTCTAAAGGACAGAATATGTGGGATTGAGTAGCACTTATAGGTACTATGAACGTATGTATAGTCGCTAAGTTGGGCAGACGGCCAGTTGACTGTTATTTGTAAATAACGGTTTTTCCCATTATGGGAAAAACCGAATCCCATTTCTACTCTAGCCTGGAGTAGACTGTAAGTTTAAGAGGGGAAATAGATATCTCGATCACTCTCAAACGCATGCATAGTACCCTCGCGCTCACGCTCACGGAAAAACTATTATTGCGTCTGGGGGGATGTTTGGCCGGTGCGATTGGTCTGGCTGAGCACACGTAGTTATGAAATAGCCTCCCCAATAACATGTATAAAAATCAAGCGTTAGAAAAAAAGTTAAAGTACTTTTTAAGCTTTCGCACCTGGTGTCGGTAAATTGGCCGTCTACCCAACTTAGCGGGTATACATACGTTCATAGTACATATAAGTGCTACACAATCCCACATATTCTGTCCTTTAGAAAATAAGTTGTGTCTGGCGGCTCTGGGCTCTTGGACTATAATATTTATATTAAATTTATCAAAAATATTGTAGACAAAATTACATGACAAAACAAAAATAAACGAAAGCATATTCATTGTATATTGTAGATATATTGTTTCAAATAACAAAAATAGTGTAACAGTCATAAGTTACTACAAAAATAAAAAATAGCTAATAAACGTAACGCGAATTCAGTTTACAAATTCATCTAGAAAAAAAGAAAATCACTTTTTAGAAAAAGAATACTTCTTGTCTCTTTTTGCCGCCAACAGATTTTTGTTTTTTTTTTCAAAACGTATCTGAAAAATTCCCTAAAAGTGTAAATTAAATTAGTTTTTATTTGAAGTTCTGCTTTTACATGGTCTACTGAGAGCCTATTCCGACTTCCAGGCCGCATTACATAGGGAAAATACCCTTTCTGAGTCGGAATTCGACCCATAGATGGAAAAAACAAATTGAATTATTTTTTAAAAATATTCAAGATTGGGGTTGGCAAAAAAAATTATATTGCATTCATGAATAGTATTTCCGTTTTTATTAAAAGCAGGACATTTGGTGTCCTGCGGACAACTTCGGCAGGACGCAGGACTCAAGACCCTGAATCCAGGACATCCTGCGAAATCCAGGACGCCTGGCAACCCTATCCTCAATAACTACGGTAGTTAATCATGTAATTAATGTTACATTAACTACGTTCCCAACCCTGCTTGCCACTGAGCCTTTTCGGAAACGATGATCCGATTAACTGTATCACCAGCTATATCTTATCTCAACTGTGTTCATTAAAGATCAAAAATGAACAGCTAATCGGCTCAGCGTATCCGAAAAGGCCTACTGTCAGTAATTTTGAATACAAGTAGGTACTAATTAATTTTTCGTTTTTCTCTTGCTATATAGCACCGTCAATGAACGAGTTCGGGATTTTGCTCTAAGGGCATAATTTTTTCGTAATTTGCTCGTTTTAGGAAACACGTATAGTCTGGCTAGCGAAACGGCGAACTTCAATAAAATTTGCTGCTTTGCCAAACTTGACGGAAACAATAATAGACAAGTTGGTAACATATTTTATTTTTTGCAATATTTTTGTAATATTATTTGCAATATTATTGCAAAAAAAATATGCCACCAACTTGTTTATTATTGTTTCCGTCAAGTTTGGCAAAGCAGCAAATTCTATTGCAGTTCGCCGTTTCGCTAGACAGACTATACTGCACTGCAGTTCTTTTCTTCTGCATGGCATACGGCCCCAAAGGTGTTTTCATGCTTCGCTATTAACTCAGCACTTACGCACTTAATTCATGGCCTACTAATGACATAAATGAGTATTATTTGAAAACAACAGTAGGCAAAAAAATTATAATAATTCTGAAATACACATGCCATATTGATTAAACACTTTTTACAAACTTAGACACTATCTGTGAAATAAGTAAAAATACCTCGTCCAATATATAATTATTATTGTTTTCTTTCAGGAACAGACGAATCCCATTGAGCCAGATAAAAGTTTCCAGCCACAGGATTGCCTAAATTGTATTTCTGAGCGAATTTCCTTATGGAAAACTTTGTTACGTCATTGGCCAAATTTTGTATTTCCGTAACGTTTATTTCACCTTGTTGCTCAAACACCAAAAAAATATACCGATGAAGGCCGGTGCCTCTTGGTGCTCCAGAACCTCTGTACGAAACCAAAGTTTGTCCTGTTGAAAGGTCGTTGCCATTGATGTTAACTACTAACCAATGATTGATTTCCCTAAATTGATTTAATTAAATTTTATTAATATTATTAATAATTTAATATTGATGTACCTGAAAGTTGGTGTGGCTCTGCTTGGAGCATCAGGATCAACATTGCTCAAAGTATAAAATTTATTCGGATCAGTTTCCCATTTAACTTCTGGTTGCTGTGGTCTGACTACAGTAGGAGTCAACTCATTGAAATTCACTTCTTTATTTCCAGGATAAATTAAGCTTATTTTGGCTTTTGGAGCCACATCTACTACATCTGGAACCACGCTTTCAGCTTTGAAATTCTAGAAAATAAAAATTTTGTTTATATTTGCGAAAAATAAAGTTAAATATAAATGATATACCTCAACAACTTCTGATGCCATACTGCTACAGGAAAAGCCTATGATAAGAATATTTAAAAGCATCATTTATAATAGGTATTTAATTTATTTGCACTTTAGCTTTATCTTCATTCAGAATCAGTCGTTTTTGATATTAACAAATACAATGTTTATCTAACGGTAAAATAATAATTATTGTAAAGTGAAAGCCGGTTTGGGATTGCGTAATGTCAATTATTTATATAAAAACAAGGTTCCTACTTATAAGTAGGTACTTTACTCAAGCAGATTTTTGATATATTTGGAGCAAAAATTTTTTGAAGATGTTTTTTTCCAATAAAAAAAATTAGTTCACCCATTGAGGTTTTTTAAAATTTTGGAGAATGTGGGTCTTAAGAGAAACAGAACCTTCAGAGAAATTTCATTTGCGCAATAAATAAAGTAGTTTAAGACATCAATGGTCGGCCAGTTAAATTTGAAAAAAAAGCAATTTGTTTCAATTTTTTTTTATTAGGGTGGTGGGTGGTTTCAGGTTCCAGGTAAAAAATGGAGGTGCATTATACGAATTCTAATATCATCAAGGCAACGATCACCAGATACAAACGTTGGTAAACGCTTTGCGGTTCTGCTGAACGCTACGTTGAATTTGTGTTGGAACCAAACATGTTTTACAAACGTTCGTCATTTTTGCAAACATAATTTAGGAGTGTTTATCAAGAATCGTAAACTCTACAGAATTGCTCAATCGGCTAAATTTGTTCAAAATTGCTGTGACGTCACGTGCATCCCGGATTTTCAAGATGGCCGCTGATACGAATGATGTTCAGTTTGTGGGTTTGTGCTATTTATTTTATCGTAAATTCAGATTTATCAAAGCCGGGCTCAAGCCGGGCTCAAACGACTCGTGTACTTGGCGAATAATCGTTACTTGCGTCTACTTGCCATGTCGTGTGAGTGGGTTACTTGTACAATTATTTGTCACTCGTTGGTTTTCCATTTCTTGTCGGTAAAAATGTCCCGAGTCAAAGGGATCACGATTATTCGTACACTTGCCAAGTTCATACTTGTCTATACTTGTAGAGGCGCTCAAACGAAATGCACAAATAATTGGCTTTTACTGCGACTATTTCATTTAGTTTTCGACGAGCATCCAAGGTTTAGCCAAATGTTTGCGTTCGCGTACTTGTAAATTGAACACGTCGTGTGAGCGCCCTGCTTGCCATCACAATTCGCAAAGCTAGTATACTTGCCAAGTACGCGAATTATTGTGTATTCGCCAAGTACACGAGTCGTCTGAGCCCGGCTTAAGCATAAAAGTCTCGTGGCTAAAAATACTCGCGAAAACCCCAAGCATTTTCTGGTTTTAGTGGTTTTAAAATACTGGATTTGTTGTATCAGGACATCGCTTTCTTTTATTCGTGTGTATTGCTAGTTTTCTACTGTTAGTATTTCCTAGTCTTGGGGTGCGTTCGAAATCACCCTGGGCGTCACACCGGGTGTAACGCCCAAGGTGATTTCGAACGCACTCAGGCATTTGTATTGCTTTTTTTTTAAATCAAATATCTACTAAGTTGTAAGTTTCCTTTGCATGTAATAGACCTATCTCCCATGATTAGAAAAGGAGAGCTTCATTGTAATAAATACAAGTTGGAAAAGAATAAAAGATGACATGCGCGCGCAACTCGTAGGCTGCAGTGTAGCCAGATTGTATTGTTGCAGAACAAATGTAGACAATACGAATCGAACATTATAACATTAAAAAAGTAATATAGTCTCAAGTGTTTTACAACGCCTTAAATCAGGCAAAAGAAGAGCTTTAAAAGTTGTATTCCTTTCAAGAGCTTGAAAAACTCGAGCTACTCGCTTCGGTGCTTAGTCGCCCCCGATTTGCACCATATGCGTGGTGCAACAAACACTTTTCGAAAGGAATAAGCGCGTGAAGCCCCGGAGCTGTTCCGGAGCTCCTCCTAGGAGTGAAAGGAATACAACTATAGTGGATAAACATCGTTTGCACTTTTATTTTGATAAATGTTTGGCAACATCGCTCAATTTCATTGAAAGGAATATGTCAAGTATAAACTAACATAACCTTAAACGAAACTGCGGTGAGTTCAAAGTAATATGTAAAGTATTAGTTTGCTCTTTGTCAAATTACACGTTACAAAGAAAGAAGGAACGATTCATTCTGAACTGGTCCCTGAATAAGAATATGACGCAAGCCTGTCACAAACTTGCTTCTCATTAGTTCTCATTGGACGCTTACCTGCAGCCTACAAGCGACGCGCGCAGTCCAGGTAATAGGAGATCGGTCTGTTACTGAAAATTAGTGTTTGTGAAGAGTGAATGAATGAATATGTATAGTTTGGCAAGTGGTAACTTCAGTAACTTGGTAGAGACGAAAGGGGGAAGAAAAGTTGGGCGTAACCTAAGAATATTCACTGACACCTCAACTGACACCGCCTGATGATAACCATGTCTTTGGGTTCAGTGGCACCGAAAATACCAGGGAAATAAAGCAAAAAATTATTAGGAAAAAAATTCTTGAGTTTCACCAATAACGCCACTGGTGCTGTCCTTCAGGCTCTAACCAATAGAATCATACCTCTGAATAATCACGCCTCTCCACATCCTTCATTTCGCAATGCTACCGGATTTTATTCTATTCCAAATGCTACACATATCCATATTGCAAAAATAGTATAATAAAATATAAGTTTCATAAGACGTCATTTTATCGCACGAGCCCTATATTAGAAAACGAGCCGAAGGCGAGTTTTCTAAAGGGCGAGTGCGATAAAATGTCTTATGAAACGAATATTTTATACTATTTTTTCTATTTTAGTATTGTTTAATTAAAAAAAAACAAATTTTTCTTGGAAATTTTATTCTCAAATTTCCTGATTTCATAGTTTAGGTTGGTAACACTACATGCCAAATATAGAAATCTTCTATTATAAAATCGCAAATGACAGCTCGATGGCCATCAGTCAGCCAGTATTACCAACCTCCGATAAGTAAAAAAGGAGTGTCACAAAGAGCTTCTTTTCGAAACTACTTTTAGTGTCGAAAAGACTTCGATATGACACCAAAATAGAAAAAAATATGTGACCAACTGGTTTATTATTGTTTTTCTATTTTGGTGTCATATCGAAGTCTTTTCGACACTAAAAGTAGTTTCGAAAAGAAGCTCTTTGTGACACTCCTTTTTTACTTATCGGAGGTTGGTAACACTGGCTGACTGATGGCCATCGAACTGTCATTCGCGATAAAAAATAGTAGAAGATTTCTATATTTGGCATGTAGTGTTGCCAACCTAAACATATGAAATCAGGAAATATGAGAATGAAATTTCCAAGAAAAGTTTTTTTTTTTAATTAAACAATACCAAAATAGAAAAAATAGTATAAAATATTCGTTTCATAAGACATTTTATCGCACTCGCCCTTTAGAAAACTCGCCTCCGGCTCGTTTTCTAATATAGGGCTCGTGCGATAAAATGACGTCTTATTAAACTTGTATTTTAATGTACTATTCTGTCAAGTTTGGCAAAGCAGCAAATTCTTTTGCAGTTCGCCGTTTCGCTAGCCAGACAATAAATAAATTCCTTTACTGGCGCGTTTACTATGAAAACGCATAGAAAATATAGGAAACTTGCAGTGTTTTTCTGGAATATGATTATGAAAAAATGCATGCACATTTTAATATAATATTTATGTGGGCATTTTGAAATACCTTGCTGATAAGCAGAAGCAAACAAACTCGTCTTCCTAATTAGCCAATCACTCAAGCCTCAAGCACACAAACTTTTGAAGTCTGCTAATTTTAAAATTAATAAATTAATTAAAAAATACAGTTTTCAAAGGAAATAATCTCAAAATAACAATTTTTCACATTTGAAAATGCAAGGAAAGTGCACTGTCATAATAAAACACAAACCGATCAAGGACTGCGTGACGTCATTTGCATACCGCCATCTTCGATGTTTTTATGAACGTATGTCTTATGGGATTGAGCAATCCTGTAGAGTTTACGATTCTTGAGTGTTTATAATTTTCAACACTTTATGTTTTATGTGAGGTGAGTTCGGAATAATACAAAACAAAGTGGATGTCGACACTTTTTACACTATTGTCACTGTGGCGTTCGTCAGTTGGTAGGAGAAAGTTTGGTGTACAGAGGGTGTCCAAGATTCGATGGTTTTAGCGGTTTTCGGGTACTTCTAGAGGAGTTGGAAAAAATCTGACCCCCGCTTGCGAGCCTCGAGTTCCAAGAGAAGTTGACCGGTGAAACCCGCATTTCAATTCGTTTTCAAGCTACAAGGGTAAAAGTTGACAAAATGTCCATAAATAAAAAAGTTATAAACCCTCTGCCAAACTCCGAATTTTTCAAAAACCCCTCGTAGCATAATAACGACTTGACATATCGAGATGCGGTTTTCACCAGTCAATTTCTTTTGAAAATTGATGCTCGCAACTCGCAAGTGGGGCTCAGATCTTTTCCAACTCCTCTAGAAATACCCGAAAACCCGCTAAAACCATCGAATCTTGGATACCCTGTACACCAAACTTTCTCCTACCAACTAACGAACGCGACAGTGACAGTGTAAAAAGTGATGGTGTATTCGGTGTTACACCGCCGATTACACCTTCATCACGTTATATAACCCAGCACTACACGAACACCGCACTATAGGATTTTTACCTAAAGTGCGTTTTTTTTTTAAAGATAAAAGTCAAACTGACATTAGGTTGGCAATACAATGTAAAATTGTCAATGCTTTCAAATTTTTTATGTAGAAAAGGCTTGTGTTGCCAACATAGTTACTAAATTTTTGACTTGGGGAATTATCTTTAAAAAAAACAGATTTAAAGATTTTTACGCTTTATTTAGGATCACGTTATAGTGACTCTATAACCCACAGTGGCGACAATTGCTGTCTCATTTTTGATTGGTTCTAAAATCCCATATATTTATATTGAAAACACAGCCATCTTGTTCCCAACCCCTTGTTACTTTTAAATATGCGAATATATGGGATTTAGGTGAACATTCATCATAAATCATGGAAAACAACGTATTTGATGGACCTAATAATGGTCATCAAATACGTTGTTTTCCATGATTTATGATAAATGTTCACCTAAATCCCATATATTCGCATATTTAAAAGTAACAAGAGGTTGGGAACAAGATGGCGGCGGGACCTCTATGGTCGCCACTGTATGTAAAGGTTTATTTAGCCACTGTAGATCTCGTCACATTTAGTAAATTTCTGCTGCCAACCTAACAAAACTAAAGGTACTTTTTAACACATTTAAAGTAGGGAAATTTCAGATGTTTTTGGTTGGCAACGGCGCGCGACGTTGCATGACTTCTATAAACATTTTCATTTCGTTATTTTTAGCTGTCGTCAGAATTATTAACACATGTCATTCTGGTAAATTATAAGAAAAACAAATAGGTATTGACAACATTGTCTGTCCTTGTTCGATGACGTCATCCTAAATATAACATAAAAAAACCTATAATTAATTAAAATCCTATTCCGAACTAAACTGTGGTGACATGACATCGGCAGCCTTATTCTGTAACTTGCGACCGAGAGAATTGCGCAAATGTCGCTGTCAAATCGCTATTTGACGCGAGTTTTCTATTCAAAAAAAGCAACCAGCGACTGGTTGCTGGTTGCTATGTAATTGCTATTTATAGAGAATAGGCCTGAGGGTTACGTTCTATCGAAGATTTGAATCGTTCAGCAGAACCAAGAGTTTACCCAACTTATTCTGTTGGTATTTGTAAACTGTTTACAATCTGTTTTGGTTGTGGTGCACGTAGCCAATCCCTGAAAATTTGAACAGCTTAGCATTAGCCCTTAAAGATGACATGAAAAGGGGTTGTCTAAATTTCAACACCCTGTATTTTGGAAACGACGCACTTCCGACCATCGGTGACCTATCTCAAACTACTTTTCTATGGGTCCTCTGTATACCCAAGGATTTTTGACCAGTTGAACGGGGACACTCTGTATAAGTACACTTTTAAGTGCTTTTTATTTTCATAGTCGCTTTACATTTTGGAGTACTTCGTTTTGAAAACGCCTTCCCTGTGACATTTGAAAACTTTTGACTTTGACAGTGAAAGCTTGTACACGTTAACCAGACGTAGAATTTGCATTTTGCTGTAAACAAAACACCACAAAGGAAATAAAAACATCCAGATTTTTGTACAGAATGGAATAAAAATTAAAAGTCAATTATTGCTATTTTCTATTGTGATATTTGCAACTAATAGTATTTTACAAAAGCGGTAAGTTTCTATAGATTTCGAAAAGGCAAACGTTGTTCCATTTTTGTATTTTTAGACCTGAATCATGGGTGACGAAGCCCCCGGAGGTGGATTCAATCCTTGCGAGTGCATATGGAACCACGAAATGGCCATGAGAAGGCTTCTTAATGCTGTAGGTTCTTTTTTTTAAAATTGAATTTGCTTACGTGGTTCCATAAAAATTGCACTATTTGCAAATACAAGGCCAACATTATCAACATTTTATTACATGGTCGGATTTCATTGGTGCATGGCCAATTTCCTATTTTTTACTGATTATTTCGAGTGTATTATCAGAACAATGCTTATTATTTTTAATTATATTTTCGAGAAAATTTCCTTATGGCAAACTTTAATACCTACCAAGTACTGAGACTCTTCTATGTACAGAATTTCGAGTTGAGTACGTCATTAGCTCTAACCTGATACATTCGATCACTTAAGAAATCTTTGATCCAACTCAAGTACTAAACTGTACTTTTTTTAAGGATGTGGAAATCTTATTTGTGCAGTATAAATAAAGTTCTTTTATTATTATTATTATAATATTCGAAAATGCTGAAGTTTGTATAAAATACGATTGATTGGAACTTTATCAAAGTCTAGTACCTATACCAGGTCAATGGGTTGTCCCTTGTTATTCATCTTTGTCCATAAATCGAAACATATTAGTAGATGGCTTTCAGTTGATCTTCCAGGCAAAAATCCACGCTGTGAAGACACAAGGATGTTGTTTTCTATTAGAAAGTTTGTCAGTTCTTTGGCTACCACTTTTTTCATAGATTTGCAGGTGTTACAAGTAAGACCTATAGGACGATAATTTTTTGAAGACAACCTATCTTTTTTTTTTATGAATTGGGATTATGTGGGCTCTTTCCATTTTTCCAAGACTTTCTTGCTATTCATCAAGTTAGTCACTGTGTGTGCAATGGGTGCGCTGATATATTTTGCACTTTTTTGCAGAAATGTTATCTGGACCTGGGCTAGACTCTTTCTTGATGGCGAGAATCAACTCCTCAACAATGTCTGGGGTTGGGGGTCATTTTTTCTTGAATTTGCTAGTGGAAGCATTATTTTATCCAAAGATTCTGGTGTAAAGAAAAAAAAATTCAATCTGTATACACATCTCCTAGAAGAGAACAAAATGTATTTAGGTGGAAAAATTTTAAGATTTTTTAAAAAATTTCAACACTTTGTAGCTTTTAATCTTGAAATAACCTCAGGACTCCTCTACTGCGTTTTTTAGACGCATTGAAGGATCACCCTGTATATTTTCTTACAGCTCAGAAATTCTCAAGCCTTATGTACCGACACTGAATGCTTCGAACCAGGTAAATATCTCAACTAAAATATTGGAACAAATTTCGAGATTTTTTTTAAATTGTAGGTGCCTCATCACCTGGCAGTGCTCCGACCGAAAATTTCTATTTCCTGATTTTTGTTATTGGAATTGCTATGATGCTATTTGTTCTCCGTCCTAGGCCACAAGCAATTGAACCCATGAATAAGCCAAATAATGTAAGTAATTATGGCTATTAAGGGTGGCGAAATACAGTATCCACCAAAATAAACAGTACTGAACATATAAATTATATCATGTATTCGAGCATGTATTTTTATTTTATTTTTATTTATTCAACATCTTACAAACACCCTAAGGTTATTACATGTAAGGAAAGCCTAATACTAAATAGAAACACAAATTAACAACTAGACATGGGAACAAAATATAAAACAAAATAAGTTATACCTATTTACGGATTGTACAAGCTATATCCAATATTATTTAATTTCCTTTTAAAAAGTGACACATCAGGATTAAAGATATCCAAACTATGCTGAAGTGAAAGGATATTACACGCTTTTAGCATAAAAGCAAAGGGAGAACAACTAAGGGGATTAATACAAAAATCTCCCAGCATTCTTAATCTTAAATTAATGTTGGGCACTCTTATACTTATAAGTTCCACCAAATAACAACAATTGTATTTAATGTTATTAATGATGTAATATACAAATATCACAGCCTGATTTATTCTTTTGTATTAATTTGTATCATGCATATATGTTCATAGCGACGCAAAAAAGCTGCATAACGATTCTGCAAATCATTGAAAATATTTATTAAGAGTGGTTGCTGAATATTTTCTGAGACTTGTTTCAAACTTGAGCCTTTATTTCTTCCAAAACCGTATGACCGGAAATAGTGCTCTACTAAGAAAACTGTTTCTTAAGTTGAAAGATACATAATGACGAAGATTTTAACCTTAACTTGATATTAACCTCATAACTAATGCCAAGTAAGTGAAATATGATAAATGCAACTTGCATGCGCTCAGAGCTCTAGATTTCGGTACTGTTTATTTTGGCGGATACTGTATTATTTGTATCTTTATAAAAAGTCTTAAAAACTCTTTTTAGAATTCGAATGATCCACCACCAGCACCACCAATAAACTAAATAGCTTATTTAAATATGTATACATTTTGTTTTATTTTATTTTTGTTGGTATCTGGATATTTCATCTATTAGCTTGTATATTTTATCTTGTGAATTTTATTTTAGTTTTAATTTTGGCAACATTCCTTCTGCACAAAAAAAAAGAGATTATAATAATGCACTAATATGGTTTTTATGTTGAGAATAAATACTTTATTTTACTAAGTGTGCAATTTTATTTCAATGTTTCAAGTATAAGGTTGCTCGTGTTATATTTTTTTAGATCTTGTATGTTCTCTTTAAAAGTTTAAATTTGATTTTTCTACAAAAATGAATAGTTAGGTACTGAAAGAGAAGGTGCAAGTGTCGGGATTTATTTGAATTCAATCAATTAAAAATTGACAAATTAATTAATCACAAATTAACAATGACTACTTAGTTAAACTTTTTTTGATACTCTAGCTTCGAAATTATTTTGTTTTAATACTGTCATAACGATAAGTTTTGTTTTTGTAACAAGTTGAATTGAATTGAAATAGCTATTTATATAACAAGAACAAGAACATAAAGTAATGTCAATAAAGCCTGTTTATGAAAGCATGATTTTATGTATGATTGCGACTGGTTTTTGTTAAAAATTAAAAAAAATAAATAAAAAAAATAAAATTCGCGTAGGTATACGGTATACCTGTTTCACTTTGGCAGGTGGTCAAGACCTGTTTCACCTTTACAGGTTGTCAGGTAGTCCAGATAGGCTATAAAGTAGCTCTTTATTTTACTAGTAGAACAAAGTGCTACTGTATTCACGCAAAACTGCTCTATAAATAGCAACTTATTGGTCAATCGGACATAATAGTTATTTTCCTAACAAGTGCGCAAAGTGATACTTTCCCGCACGAAAAAGCAGTTAGACGAACGACGCGAAGCGGAGTTCGGATAAGCTTTGAGTGCGGGAAAGACACTTTGCGCAAGTGTTAGGAACAATATTTTTTCTACTAGTATCTTAAAAAACTAGACTTTGAATTGTTAAATATTAGAAAAATCAATCAAATCAAAATCTGCAAAAATCGTTTAAAATCTATTGGAATTCCTCAAAATGTCTTTTTATTTATTTATCAACGGGCCGAGCCCACTTACAAAATGCTAAACATTCAATTCAACAATATAGAATTAGATAACAAATGTAACAAAAATAAAATTAATCACTCTTAAAATTATATAATAATAATAATTACAACAACAAACAGCCCTGCAACTTGATGAGAAATGAGTAAGGCTAGATACGTAGATTGGACTAGTAGATTTAGGTAAAAATCAAATAATAATTAGTAGGTACAATAAAGTTATAAAAGGTGGGATCAGCAATTTATGATAAAAGTTTTCTAACAACTACCTAAAAGTATGACGAACTTGACCCAGGAAAATGCTCAAGGGGGCAAAAAGGTCAATCTCATGGTGCTCATTTGCAAGTCTAGCTGTTCGGGAAATAAAAGTATTGCGTCCGTAATTAGTTCGATGAATGGGAATATGAAAACTGTCATTCGACCTGGTGGTTCTAGGAGGGACATGAATGCTAATTTTGTGAAGAATTTCGGGATTCGAAGCCTTCCCATGTAGGATATTATAGAATGTTGTAAGATCTCTCCTCTTGTGACGCATAGTTATTGAGGCCATATTCAACATAGAAAGTAGTTGTGAATCATTATAATTATTCAAAATATTCAGTTTAAAGGCAATTTGTTTCAAAAATTTGTGTTCAACAAGTTGTACAGAATCACGATGTACAACATAAAAGGGGGACCAGACGCAAGAGGCATATTCTAGATGAGGGCGTACTAGGGCACAATATAAAGTCTTTAAGGTTGTAACATTGGTGAAATCTTGTGTAGTCCTTCTGATAAAACCCAGCATTTGAAAAGCTTTATTTATTGCATTGTTTAAATGATTAGTGAAGAAAAGATCTGTGTCTAAAGACACACCAAGGTCTCTGATAATGGAAACTTCCTCAAGGATGTGTTGGCCAATTTTATACTTAAATTTAATAGGATTTTTAAGACGTGAAAATGTAATGGCTTTACATTTAGAAGGGTTGAGATCCATGAGGTTTCCCATACACCAATCTTGAAGGCTGTTAAGATCGTACTGTAGTTTGTCACAGTCTTCAGGAGTTCTTATTATGCAGCTAATTTTGAGGTCGTCGGCAAACAACAAGAAAAGACATACGGTAAAACATTCGTGAATATCATTTACAAAGACATTAAAAAGAAGTGGCCCAAGATGGGACCCCTGTGGCACCCCGGAGGTAACCTGAATGATTTTGGAGAGGAAATTGCCAATTTTAACAATCTGTCTCCGACCAGATAAATAACTGTGAAACCATGAGATCAACGGTTCATCAATCCCAAACAACTTAAGCTTATGTAATAACATGGTATGGGAGACCCTATCGAATGCCTTGGAGAAGTCAGTGTAAATTGTATCCACTTGAAGTCCCCTCTCCAAGGCATCCAACAGATAATCCACTTGAGTTAAAAGATTTAATTCAGTTGATTTGCCCTGTCTGAAGCCAAATTGTTCATTAATTAATCTAGGTTCTAAGAGGGGGGTTAAAAAGTCACATACTAGGCTCTCAAAAACTTTAGGGATTGTGCTGATAATACTAATGGGTCGGTAATTGGTTACCAACGTTTTATCTCCGGATTTAAAGATGGCCTTGAGAAAGCTTTCCTTCCAAAACTCTGGAAAAACGCCAGTACGTAGTGACAGGTTGAAAATGTGGTAAAGGGGCCTTGAAAGGTTAAAACTGCAGTTTTTTAGAAATATGGCTGGTATTCCATCTGGACCAGGGCCTTTGTTGATATCTAACGTAGATAATTTGGTGAATATGTCAGATATTAGTATATGATGCTTTGGTATATGGACTATGGATGTAGGTAACTCATGTGTAGAAATATCATGATTATTGTTTGAATAAACTGTAGAAAAATAATCTGCAAACATGTCAGCAATCTCCTTACCAGAGCAACTTGACCTGTCCTGATATTTAAGTTCACTAGGAAAAGCATTGCTTTTCCTTTTTTTGTTAACAAAAGACCAAAATTCTTTGATGTTGGAGTTAATAGCCCTTTCAGTCCCCTGAACATAGTCCTGGTAGCATTCATGTGTCAAGTTCTTGCAGAGATGTCTCAACCTAGAAAATTCACGATAATCCACATCAGAACGAGAGGACTTGTATTTTTTATGAGCTTTTTTCTTTAGAATTACATAGTTTTTTAATTCAACTGAAAACCAAAACGGAAATTTTCTGGCAGAGAATTTTTTTAAAGGTACAAATTTATCTATGGCAATGTAGATAATTTCATAAAAAATATTTAACATTGTATCAAGAGTTTGATTACATAATAAAAAGTCCCAGTTAAATTGATCTAAAAACATAACAACATCCTGAAAATTGGTAGAATTAAAGTCTCTATAAAAACCGTCAAAGTCAAGACCTTTTTCAGTAGTGTCCGAACAGCAAGCCTTCAAGGTAGCACTTAAAGGTGGGTGAACCACAAAAGGAACTAGGAAACAATCAGCAGGTCTAACTTCTGTTGAAAAGTCTTGCGTAAGAATTAGGTCAAGGAGGCTATTATGAGATGTTAAATATTTATTAGTTTGGAACAAGTTGTGAAAGTTACAGATGTTTGACATAACCTCAACACGAGCAGTATCTAGAGGCACAGTTGCAGTCGCAGAGGAGCTAAGGTTGTCAATCTGCCATGAGGCGTGTGGTAAATTGAAGTCACCAAAAATATGTAGAGTGGAACTAGGCATCTGAAGTGCAAGTGTATCCAAGGTTTCAGAAAATGTAGTATATACTTGAACTGGTGAATTAGGAGGGACGTAAATTGCCCCTAGGATTAAATTAGAATTGCTAGATCCAATAGCCACAAAAACTTGTTCAATGTTATCTGCAACATCAAGCCGTTTGCTAGGTATAGATTTGTGAATTGCTATTAGAACTCCACCCCCTCTTGAAAAAACACTGGTTTTAGTTGAACGGTCCTGACGATAGATGTTAAAGTCAGTGAAATTGAGTTCGGCATCATATATGCCACTGTGCAGCCATGTTTCAGTTAAAACAAATATGTCGTGATGACACGCCAAAATATTTTGTTGGATTAAGCTTAGTTTGGTTCTTAAGCCTTGGGTGTTCTGGTAATATACAGAAAAAAATTTTGTAGGCTCGGTTTGTTTTAGTTTTTTTGTATGATTTTAGGAACACCCTGAAAGTATTTGATTCTTAAATTAATTTCTCCGTTGGATAATCTTTGCCTAAGTTCAGTCTTCATCCTTGCTTCAGCTTCGATCTGAGTTTTGGTTAAATCCGGGTTAACATAGATATTTTTTTTAAATTAAATCCTCAAAAATCTTTTAACATCTTCTGGAATTCCTAGAATACCAGCTAGAATATTTTCATGAGTCTCCCAAATATCAAAAATTCTACAAATTTCTAGCAGTACAGGCTGGTCCAATTTGGACACCTTTGATAGAAAACATAATGTTAACTAACCGCTAAGTTGAACTAAAACCCTTCATTTTGAATATTAGTTTATTCAAAAACCATCAAAACATTGAAAAATTAAGTATAACTATGGTAATTATGCGTAACAAAAATGAGTGCGCAAAGAGTTTCCGTGCGCAAAGTTCAACTTTGCGCACGCAAATGAGTGTGCAAAGTGATTACTTTGCGCACGCAAGTAGAAAATAGTTATTTTCCTAACAAGTGCGCAAAGTGTCACTTTTCCGCACGCAAACACAGTTATACGAACGACGCGAAGCGGAGTTCGGATACGTGTTTGCGTGCGGAAAAGACACTTTGCGCACGTGTTAGGAACAACATTTTTCCTACGAGCTTCATATTAGGTAGGTAACAAGATTTTTTTTTTTTTTTAAACCCATAATTTGTTCAATTATTTTTAATTAACTTGAAGCGAACCTATACATTTATCAAAAAATTACCTAATAAAAAAAATAACAGAAAATCCTCGTCAGAGCTGTTCATCTTAAAGCATTTAAATTTGATGATAAAGTTTGTAGATTCTTGCATATAAATAGAGAACAAATCTGACAATGTGTCAAGGTTAATTTATATTTGGTGTTTGTATTGATGTTGGCTGATATAGAAACCGAGAAAAAATTTGTCATCATGTGTCAAAGTCGACAGGTGCACTTATTGTTGCTTGACAAGTATTTTTACTTTTCGGCACTCAGTGCGGATAAGGCCTGTATCCGCACTGAGTGCGGAAAAGTGTAACTTTGAGCCCTGGAATGCGTGCGGAAAAGTACTTCTTTGCGCACGCTCGTAGGAAAAAGATATTTTGACTTATTTTTCTAAAACATGTAGGTATAGCAGTGTCTTCTAATATCAAGAATATAGTTTTTTTATATATTTTTTTTGGGGTCAATTTATGAGAGGCCTCCTAAAACTTCACTAGCTCCAGGCCCCATGAAAGCTTAATCCGGCCATGCCAAAAACTAATACATTCGTAGTGACAAAGCTATGTAAACTAAGTTAAATTTGAATAAAATATAAATACTTTATATTTATTTATTATACAAGGGAAAAAATTACTAGAGAGACAACACAGCATGCGCTAAAATCTTACTTTTTTCCCGTCTCTTTAATACACTATTTTTTTCTGAATTCTGTGACGGGAAAATCTCACCATTTTCCATCTATACATTTTTTTTTCTGTGACCATCTTTATACTTTTTTCCCTTTGAGAGAAAATTTGACTGGTACCCGTTACTTTCTTCCCAAAATAATCACTTTTTTCCAGAGACTTTTAGACTCTCCTCAAAATATAATAGATGAATTTGCCAATTTTTTTAAAAGTGTCTATGTTGCATCTTCTTTTTTAAACCCTTCCCTATACCGGGTGCCCACGAGATCACTTTCCGGCTGCCATTTTTGTATTTTTCCATCGATATCAACGAAACACTGATCCCTGTGGAACTCCGCATGAAGCCTTTTTTCAACAGATGACACACCATTCAGAAGGACAGATTGGACACGATCACTAAGGTAGCACTTAAACCACGAGAGAGTCTTCCCTAGAAAGCGGTAGGCGCGTAGCTTCCGGAACAGAATCTCATGACTCACACAATCGAATGCCTTAGATAAGTCACAAAATACCGCAGCGGAAGCATCCCCTGCGTTTAGAGCCCCGAAAAAAAGTCAAACATTGCGTGAAACGTATTCTTGTTAGTCTGGAAGCTATATTGGTTAACAGTAAAATGTTGTTTTGGTTTAAAAATGATAAAACACGATGCTTAACCAGACGTTCAACAAGTTTAGAAAGAGTGGACAAAAGGGAAATTGGCCTGTAGTTTGAAGGGCAGTTGTGATCACCTCCCTTGTATAAAGGAATGATTATAGCAGATTTAAAACAAGTTGGAACGGACCCAGACCGGAAGGATACATTGATAACATTGGGTAAAATTGAGATTGCGCTGAGCAGTAGCGACTCCAATATCTTGAAACAGATACCATCGTGATTTGCTGCTCTATTATTCTTCATTGAGTTATATTCATTTGCCTATGTTCGTGAGGGGTAGTTGGAACAAACATACCCAGGGATTCAGGAATGCTAATATCAGAAATATAGGAGAGCGGATCTATTTAGGAGCTAAGGTATTTTGTTATGATGTTGCCTATGGAACAATAATAACTATTGAGGAGATTTTCGTCAATGTTGATCTTTGAAGTTTTTTTCACTTTATTTCTAATCTCGTTTACGATTGCCCATGATTCACGTTGCTTGTTATGAGTGTTTGTAAGACGTTTAGAATAATGAAGGTTTTTAGCTTTACAAATGATCGCTCTACAGATTTTCCTGTATGTTAAGTAGTACTGAATCCATGGGTTGTTGGTGTAAGATTTTTTGAGGCTGTTTAGAAAACGTATATTGGAAGCGGAAGTGCGGATTCCCAGTGTTAACAACTTTTTGTGGCCTTTGCGTTTCGGCGTTATCCTGCGCACAGGAAAGGAAACATTAAAATGTTGACCAAAGCCGTGCGAAAAGCCAGCAAAGGGTCTGCCCTCTGAAGAGTAGAAGGAGTGCATTGGTATCTTGGCGATAACAGCATTATGATCAGAAAGACCCGAGTCAAAGACATCACAAGAGACATTTTCATGAATGCTAGAGACGATGTAATCTATCGTAGTGGAAGAGGTTTGTGTTACCCTTATAGAACTATGGACATGGACAGGCATATTGAGATTGAAGGACTCGAACAGGTTTGTCAAGTTATGAGTAGCCCTGTTGTCCTCAGCCTCAATATTTTTATTGAGATCACCGGCAAGTACGATTTTATGATTTGATGAAAATATAGAAAGAAGCACCTCCAGTCTTTCGAGGAATACATTTACATTACATCCCGGAAGAATTTAAGTTGCATGGAATTAATAATTGAAAATTCAAACTGTTCTTCATCCAACTAGCCATCGAACTTATCAAAGGCAGAAATGCACTCATGCACTAGAGCAACTGTGCCTCCGTGTTGGGCATTTGATCTGCAAATTCTTGAAACGATGAAATACTCAGGAATATATAATGGTTCTTCAGGTTCCACGCAATGTTCGGCTAACATAACTATGCTTCAACTCCTCCGCAAGAATAAAAAGGTCGTCGATTTTGTTACGGACGGACTGAATATAGAAGCATCAAGGAGATGTTCGAGTCAGACTGTCCTGTGCTAAAAAAGAACCTTGCTCAACAATGCCCGAGAGCTCCTCAGAGTTTAACGGGTCCACCGCAATGCTGGCCTCAGGATTGACAGGCCTCACACAGGACAAGGCAAAGTTATGTCTCATTTTACAGCTAGATTTTACATAGATAGCAAATTGTTTACATAGTGAGTTTCTAGGCATTCTATATTTACCATCAATTTTAATATTATCGAAAATTCTGATTGAATTGTTCCTTAAAATTAAAGTTTGCTGGCAAAATGAAACATAATTCGAGAATCGAGTACACACCCCATTTTTTGCGGAGGAGTATATTATGTCAGTGAGAAAATAAGATTGATGTATTTTCCAATTGAGAACAGCCTTTTTAAATAATAAGTGTTTAAATTACCAATCAAGTCCAAGTAAATGCAAATCACACTATCACTTGAAGCATTTGAAGTGAGGTCTGTAGTCAGTTGAACAATCCTGTTTGCAACTTGAAACAGAGAAAATCCTGGATGACTTTCGCCATAAATAGTATTCTTTGTAGCACAAATTATTCAGAAGTCCTGATACTACGCCTTTAGAGTTTCGATCTCCCAGCACTAGTATGTTTATTTTGCTAGGAGAGGGTGCGCTTAGTTCGGGATCATCTTTTTGTGAATTAGAAGAATCGCCAGTTTCAGTAAGTGACGTGTTTTGAGCGAAAAGAGGATCAAAAGCAGATAGTTCATGAAATAAAGAGTGTCCATCATTCTCTGCGCAGCATCTCCTGCACCCGGACGTAGATGATAGATCGTGGGACACTCCAGCAGTCCTGAACAGTAGAGTGGGTGGATCTCCTAGAGAAAAGTTGCTAGAGTCCCTCCAATTCATTAGAGAGAAATAGATTATCCTGGCTTAGGGTCTCAATCGTTGTGATCATTTGTGCATTAAAACTTTTGATCTCAGATAATGCATCAACAGATTTGCGTAGCTCCTTCATACTAGCCCTCGTACTCAGCTTTCAGAGTATATTCAGTTCTTTTTTGCTCAGCTAAGGTAGATTATAGTTCTGCTAGACTGGACTCGACCTCACTCATCACTGATACTGCTTGTGTCGGGTGTTTGACGAGCATTATTTTCAGTCGAGGCGCTGATTATTGAGTCAGTTTGTGTGGATACTGTGCAGCAAAAAGGGAGCGAAATATAATCAGTTTTTCTTTCTCAAGTTCCTTCAGTTTAGCTTTCAATACCCTGTTTTCACTTGTTAGGTTGCACTTCATAGATTCTGCCGCCTCAAGGAGCATCTGTTTCTCCTCCTTAAGCCTGGCAATAAAAACAGATTTGTCAACAAGGTCTGCCCTGGTTTCCCTTACCTTAATGCCTGGGCAAGGCAAGCAGTATCGGAGCTGTTTGCTTGCTCGTAACAGTCTACAGAGTATAATATCAGGTTGTCACGAATGTACTCAACTCACCTGCGTCTCTGGAGACAGCTTTTGTGGTAAATATTATGCACTGAGAGCATGTAAAGTTAGAATTAGCCTTTTTACAGCATTTAAAAGCTGAAGCTATAGTTTTGGAAAAGGTGCGTGCCTTTTCCCAGTGTAGAAAATTACAACATAAATACACTAAAGAATTCAGGCAAACAAAAAAGAATATATATTAAATCAGTAGGAATAAAACGTCAGCACCATAAAATAAATGAGGAAGGTAAAAAGATAAGGAATATGAAATTCCTATCTGTACTTTTTTGCGAAGACCAAAATTTTAAATTATTAACAGCAAAATGCAACAAATCATTAAATCACAATTTACAAAATTTTTGGACTACTTTAATACATCCAAAATTGACTTTAAACAGGAGCAATAAAAATGATGACTTGACGAGTGAATAAATTTTGGAAGATAATAGAAGAAGTCGAGTCTTTTTCAATACAGTCCACTCAAATTCATTCTTTCGAATACGCAAATTCTGCAAGCGCTGATCCGGAAACATGGTATTGATACGGTTCATAGTAATGGATCAATATATTCAGCAAGTACCAAAGACATGCAAAAAAAATATTTATTAGGAAAAGTCGCGGTAAATTCCAAAACAAGAAAGTCATAGTAACTCAAAGTTGTGTGTTTTCACACCATCTCAGAAGAAGAAATGGATGGAAGAAAATAAAACAGAAATCCTTGCATAAAAAATAAAAAAACAAATAATAATTTTCAATTCTATTTTTATAAATGACAATTTTCTACAAAAGAATTTTTTTCTTGAATAATTATCTAGTAATTAATTCTCTATAACTAAATCAAATAAGGGATATTGAAAGTAACATACAAAAAATACTATAAATACAATTGTTTTCAATTTAAACTTACAATAGACAAATACATTGGAATATTTAGTGAGTTGCTTACCAGTATTGGTAAGAAACCCACACTTAAATTCCTCCTTAAATCTTACCTTGTTGCCAGCTTCTCTAAATATGGCACTGGCTACCAACAATAAGTGATTTAAAAAAAATAATACTAAATCGGTCTAAAATAATACAGTAAATAAATCTAATAAATAAGTAGATAATTCTTAATATCACATTTTTGTTTTGTCATTTTTATGAACACCCTGTATGTCTCCATTATTTTGTGTTTTTGTAGCTTTTTCCTCTTCGCCTATTGTAAGCATTGTTTCAGGGTCCACAGTCAAATCCCTCAAACTTCTTACTGATAATCTCGTAGAGTGTCTGACGGTTTCAGCACTAAAAGGTACTGAAGTTTTGGTTAGTAGTTTGGGCCCCAGTAATGTCATAAGTATGGCCGACGTAGGTGCTGTCAGCATTATGGCTAATATGCATACCATCAGTACTTTTTCAGCATAGATATGTTCAACTGATGAGTGGTCACTTATTAGACCAAGCAAAACCGAAGCTAGAGCAGCCTAAAATTTTAAACAAAAAATACAAACTGTTTTATGGAACTGTTTTGATTGCTTACCTGAACAGTAGCTTTGGACATGAGAGCAAAAGAAGCGAACAATTTCTCTTTTAAATTTAAACCACATCCTATTCCTAGAACTACTGTACTTCCTATACGTATCACTGTTGAGGCTACCAATATTCCTATACCTAAAACACATTATTTTTAAAAATTAATAGCTAAGTAAACAAAATAATTGTTGAATTTTTACCTATAAGTACAACCTGTCTATCTAATTCCTGAAGTTTAATTTGAGCACCGGTCAAGGAAAAGAGAATCGGTTCGAAAAACATCCACAAAATTTCAAAACCTTCTGAAGCTGGATTATCTTCGATGTCCCAGCCTTGTTTCGACCACACCACTAAAGCCACAAAGGCCGCTGCAACGCAAGCTAAAGGCCCAGCTCCACCGTATCCTATGTAGTCGCTGCCGAATACTGAGAACGTGCATCCGGCTAGGAGAAGGAGGATTCTCAAATGAGACTAAAATAATTTTTTTTAGTACAATATTAGACTACATGAGTTTGTAGATAAATGCAATCTTACCACATACGGGTCTTTCTTTTCGGGGGTATAGTAGCAGAGCAGGCCCCAGAATATGCCAAAAGCTATACCACCTATGATTGAGAGTGGGGCTTGCATAATGACGAATGTCAGAGAACCAGTGCTGAACATTGCACTTTTAATTATACCGAAAACCGCCACGGAGGCTGCATCGTCGATACCGGCGATCGCAATGATCAGAGTGGGAATACCTTTGGCCACTCCGTATCCTTTGGATCTCAGTCTGAAATAATAAATCAATTAGTCAACAAGGATTTAAGTGTTGCTGATGGTTTTTAAGGAATCTAATTAATTCTAATTTCTGTTAATTGGAAGAAGGTTTTCTGAGCGTGAGTTGACCTTTGGCCCATGGTTCAAGAACGGATAATATGCCTATAGCATTTCCTCCTTATTAACAATTTGTAAAGGCTTAGTGTGAGTTTGGGTTAATTTTAGTAAGAACCTCTTTAAATAAAAAATGAAGGCTTTCACGGCCGGTCAAATCTAGTAAAAAACTTTTTTCCGGGCTATAATGCCGTGGTCGAGTACTTAATCTTTCTAGCTAACGTTTCGTCTACTGTTGCGGTAGACATCTTCAGAGGCGGTGTGGTAGAGGACGAAGTGTTCTCATACGTCTTCCTCCGATGACTGGTTTCGACGTTGTTGGACCTGCGTTATTTATATCCTGGGTTGTGGCCGTAGCTTGTATTGAGCTATTTTTTCTGTTTCGTTCTCGAAAAGGAAGGGTTTTTGATCTTCGGAGAACTGGCAACCAGCTTTTGTTAAGGTTCATGCTCTCTTCTTTTCTGTTGAAGTTGTTGTGGTGTTTCTGTATCTCTATGGCTTCTTTATGGAGCATGGTATAAAAATGTTTGCTCCTATCCAATGCTTGAGTCTGGTTGAAACGAATGACATGGTTTGTGTTAACACGTGTTCGGTGATTGCTGATCTATCTATTTGTCCTTGCTGACAGTTTCTTTTGTGCTCTTTCCCTGGTGTTGATAGAGCGTTTGGTTGTTCCTACATAGACAGATCCACAAGAGCAGGGAGTTCTATAGATGCCTGCCGTTTCAAGATGTGCCTTTGCTGAATTCTTCTTGTGGGCTTGTAGATGGGCTTAATGTTGTGTGTTTCTAGCGTTCGTCCTATGCGATCTGTGACATTTTTGATGTAGGGAAGAAAGGCTCTCCCTGCCACCTGTGCTAGTTCCTTATCATTTGTGCGCTGTTGCTTGTCTTATAGCTTTATTTATCTCCTGCTTGGAGTACTCATTTCCCTCAAGTGCTGATTTTAGGTGTTGCATCTCGTTTTGAAGTTATCTGGGTTCACAAATCCGGATTGCCCTGTCAGATAGAGTTTTAATGACTTCTCTCTTTTGCCTAGGATGGTGATTGGATTTATTGAAGAAAGAAGTTTCCACTAATACATCAGCTAAGAAGTTTCCCTGTACATTTTGATGTATGATTTATTTTTTATGACATTGAAGTTTTGCAGTTGTACTTGTCAGAATAATATAATATTTCTCATTGTAAAAACGTTCTAAGTTTATACATCAATCTTTACAAATCTTTTACTTCCTACTTCACATCTGTCCTGCGTTTACTGATTGCTTACAAAGGTGACGGGCCCAGATGGGCCAGCAGATGTAATCACAAGAAGATTCATCAACCTCTGAAACTGCAACAAGAGAATTTTGAAGTAGATTCCAACTGTCAAGAAAATTTTCTTTTTGAAAAGTTAGGCTTTTATTGACATTTTTTCGAGCAAATTTCAATTATGTCTACTACTGTAAGTTATGCAGAAAGTTCCAGTTCAGCTCCTTCTTTTGATAAGTTAAGAGGAAGTGAGAATTATTGTGATTGGTCGTTTGCCATGAAGCTGCTACTTCGTCATGAAGATCTTTGGGTTTCTATAAATGGTTATCCAGAAGGCGATAGGACAACAGAAGCAGTAAAAAGCAAGAAAGATCAAAAAGCTCTTACAAAGATTTGTTTGAATGTTCATGCTGTTATCCTCAAATAAGAGAATGTGAAAAAGCTGTTGATGCTTGGGATAATTTGAAACCAGCTTATGAGGATAAAGGTCTCAATCGGAAAATCAGATGACTTCGAACCTAATCAGGTTAGAAAATTTTTCTAAAATCGATGATATCGTTAATGAGTTTATGACAGTGTCGCAAAAACTTAGCGCCATAAATAAAGCTGTTGATGATGAGTTGGGAGCTATGATGCTTCAAGGATTGCCAGAAAGGTATGATCCTATGGTGATGGCGATTGCACACTTTGGTGCACAGATCACGAGTGATTTGATTAAATCCAAGTTACTACAAGATACAAAGTGGGAGAATGATAAACACAATTCACATTTGTGGTCTAAAAAAAATAAAGTCAATAATGCGAAAGACAAAAGCCTTGGTGTCAGAAATGTTGTTCTTTGCGAAACTATAAGCAAAATTGTGTACAAATACAAAAGTCAGTGGACCTTCTACCTCTAACCAAAATAAAAAGTATGAGCAGAACAAGTCAACCATGAATGGAGTTTTTATTACCGCATTAGGTTGTCAACTAAATAGACAAAAATGGTATGTTGATTCTGATGCTTCGTCACATATGACTTCTAACAAAGTATGGCTGGTAAATTTTTCAGAAGAAAGAAACTTTGGCTTAGAAGTCGCTGTTGCAAATAATCAAATTTTATACAGTCAAGGAATTGGAGATTTATTTATTAGTCTGAAGGATAGATCACCAGTCCAGGTTATCTCTAACGTAACCTATGCTCCGGACCTATATCCTCTAATTTGCTATCCGTAAGCCAGATGGTCTTTAAAGACTTTACAGTGGTATTTGATCAAGAAGGATGCAAGATACTTGAAAACAGAAATGTCAAAAGTACTTTGGCACAGAAGACTTGGACATTTAAACCGTAAACCGTATCAGCATGAAACTTCTTCGTGACAAAATGGCTATAGGATTGGATTTTTCTAACAAAAATCTTGACTATCCTTGTAAGTCCTGTATTCAAGGAAAACACAGCCGGAAACCGTTCAAAATGTAACGAACAGAGGTTTCCACTCACGAAAAGTTGGAGCTCATACACATGGATCTGTGTGGACCTATGCCCATATAGATTCTTGGGGAGGAAGTCGGAACTATATTTTTTGTCTGATAGATGACTTTACGCGAAAAGTTTTTGTCTATTTTCTCAAACAAAAGAATGAAGTTACAAAAGTTTTCGAGGAATTCAAACAGCAAGTAGAAAATGAATGTAATTTGAAGATAAAAAGATTCGGAAGTGCCAATCGTGAAGAATTCTCAAACAATATTTTGAAGAATTTTCTAAAGCACAATGGCATAAGATTCCAGATAACAGTACCCTACACACCACAAGAAAATGGAGTTGTAGAACGCATGAGTCGAACAATTTTGGATAAGACGAGATCTATGATGCAAGAATTGTCTTGTGATAATCGTTTTTGGGCTGAAGCTGTCAATACTTCGGTATATTTGATAAATCGATCAACAACAAAATTGATCAAGGAAATGACACCAGAAGAAAAGTGGAGTGGTCGAAAAGTAGATCTCAGCCATTTAAGAGTTTTTCGAGCAATAGCGTCTGTTCATATATCAGAGCAAAAACGACGAAAGTTGGATCCCAGAAGCCAGAAAATGGTATTTGTTGGGTATTTTGAAGAAGCCATGGGATATAGACTTTTCAATCCAAAAACAAATGAGATATGCAGAGCTAAAGATGTTGTATTTTTAGCAGGTCAATTTTTCACCAATCAGATGGCCGGAAACGAAAAACCTTTTACAAAAGTATTTGCGCCAATTTTGTCACTATTGGATTCTCAAAAACGAAAATGAAGAAATTGAAATTGGACGCGATGATGCGAATGATGAACAACAAGCAAGTGAGACTGTATAATGATTTTCAAGAACAAATATCAAATGAAGAAGTTCCTTCTGATAAGGTCACATCACAATAACAAAACCTCCCAGTTCAAGAAAAACAACTAGATCAAGAATCAAAATGCAGATATCCAATTCTAGATAGAAAACAGAAAGAATTCCCGGATCATCTGGTATATTAAATATTGTTTGAATTTTCTGAGCCAAAAACATTCAATGAAACAATTTCTAGTGATTTTTCTTGAGAGTGGAGAGTTGCAATGCAACATGAAATTGATTCACTTCATGGATTCTAGTTGAAAAGCCAAAAGAAGTTAACATTGTCAAATCTTAATGGGTGTACAAAGTAAAACAAGATACCGATGGAAACAATGTATGTTACAAAGCCAGACTAGTAGCCAAGGGATTCACATAAGAGTATGGCATAGATTAATTACTTTGATACTTTTTCACCAGTGATTAGATATTCAATAATATGTTTGCTTTTTGCATTGGCTGTTCAATTTAACCTTGAAATGGAACATTTGGATGTTGTCACTGCTTTTCTTAATGGAGAACTATAGAAGAGAAAATCTACATGTATCAACCAGAAGGTTTCGTCGTTGAGGGGAAGGATAATAAAGTGTGTCTTCTCCGAAAAGCATTATATGGACTAAAACAAGTTTCAAGATCCTGGAATAAGAAAGTTGACAAGGTTTTAAAAGAACTTAATTACAAGCAGTTAGCACACGAAAGTTGCATCTACACTATGAAGAAAAAGAACTTCATAGTTATCATTGCACTGTACGTGAAGACTTTTCTATTATTCACAATGATGAAAATGAAGTTGAGAAATTAAAGAGGCAACTATCACGTCAAAATCAAAGATCTTGGAGTTATACATAACTACTGTTTGGGCATGAAAGTGCAGAGAAATCGAAATGGTAGTATTTCTATCAGTCAGAGAAAGTATGTCATGGATGTACTAAGGAAGGTTGAAATGTTGAATTGTAAACCAGTCAGTACAACAATGGATTCAAATATGAAACTGCCATTAATAAGCGAAAAGAGCCTGAATGTGCCATATCAGCAACTAATTGGATGTCTAATGTATTTGAGTGTCGCTTCTAGACCTGACATTACTTATGAATGCTCCTATTTGAGCCAGTTCAATACTAAGTATGGTCAAGAGTACTGGTAAGCTGCGAAGCGTGTATTAGGATATCTCAAAGGAACAGCAGACAGAGCATTAGTTTATCGGAAATTTGAAGAAGAATTGACTGGATACACCGATGCAGATTTGGCTAGTGATACGGCAAATCGAAAGTCATACACTGGTTTTTGTTTCAAATATGCTGATGCAGTTGTGTCTTGGGAATGTCGCAAGCAGATTACAGTCGCCATGTCTTCGTGTGAAGCTGAATATATGGCAATCAGTGATTCCGCAAAAGAAACAATACATTCAAAAGGATTGTTATCAGAACTTGTAAATTTTTCAAAACCTGTGAAAGTTTACAATGACAATCAAAGCGCTCAAAAAATTGCGAGTAATCCTGTTCAGAACAAAAGAACAAAGCACATTGATGTGAGGTTTCACTTCATAAGAGAAAAGGTTGAAATTGGTGAAGTTCAGTTAGCATATCTTCCAACAAACAAGATGGCGGCTGACATTTGTACTAGCCATTATCTAGACAGAAGTTTGAGTTTTGTGTTGAAGCTATGGGTTCATCAAAATGATTTGAATTTCAGAAGACTGTTGTATTAAGAGGGAGTGTTGAAGAAAGAAGTTTCCACTAATACATCAGCTCAGAAGTTTCCCTGTACATTTTGATATATGATTTATTTTTTATGACATTGAAGTTTTGCAGTTGTACTTGTCAGAATAATATAATATTTCCCATTGTAAAAACGTTCTAAGTTCATACACCTTTACAAATCTTTTACTTCCTACTTCACATCTGTCCTGCGTTTACTCATTGGCATTGCTTACAGGATTCCTTGTTGAGGTATCTGTCCGTATGCTTCGGCTTCCTGTATACTCTGTGTCCCAGTTTCCTGGGCTCCTTTGCATTTCTCCAAAGATGCAGAGACTCGAAAGTCGTTCCGAAATTTCTGAAGATTCGAAGAGTTTTTAAATCCTCCCAATTTAACAGAATTTTCGAACGAGCGGAACGAGCCTTGCTTCGGGAACGGATTCACCAAATAAGGTAAGACCTAGCATGGACAAGGATTTTCTATCGATAAACCATCGGTTATCCAACAGCATGCATTGGAGTGACTGGGACAAAATTGACCAAATGACGTATAATGTGATGGAAGCCACACTAGCAAAAATAACCAAGAAACTGATAAATAAGTTTGAATCTATGAAACCATTAAACACTGCGAAACCCACAGGCAATGATCGCACAGTTGTCGACCTGGCCCAACACGTTCTGACCGATTCGGAAACCAGTGTTTTAAGAAAAGGAGGCAAAATTGCAATAACACCATACGCACATTACCTGAAACCACTGCGGAGGAAATACGCAATGAAACATCTAGGATTCTACGACTAGCCAAACCTCTAAAGTGCAATCTGACATATGGGGAAAGGGAAGCTATTCGTAGCCCGAATACAGACAAGAACACACTAGTCCTGCCTGCGGATAAAGGAAATGCAACGGTAATCATGAACGTGACTGACTATGAATCAAACATTTCCGAATTCCTAGACCCCTCCACCTACAGAAAGCTGTAGCGCAATCCCACTGCTTCTATATTGCGAAAAACCAATCAATTCATCCGAGCACTGGCGTTGGACTCGGAAAACGTAAGGGAACTCATCAAATCTGAGGCCTTACCACCTAGAATATATAAGCTTCCGAAGATTCACAAAACAGGTAACCCACTCAGACCCATTGTAAGTGCAATAGATCCGCCCACATACAGCATAGCCAAATACCTCACCACTCTCCTTCAGCCACGGATTGGCCAATCCAGCTGTTATGTTAAAGACTCCACTCATTTTATCCAAAAGATCAGTGACATCACTCTACTACCAAACGACATTCTGGTTAGTTTTGATGTCGTCTCGTTGTTTAACAAGGTACCAGTGAATCAGGCCTTAGAGTATCTGAGAGAGTTTTTCCGGAGGAAATCAACAACTTATTGCACTACTGTTTGACGACTACGTACTTTCAATGACAAAATAAATTCTTTGAGCAGACAGATGGAGTCGCAATGGGGAGTACACTCAGCCCCGTTATCGCTAACTTCTACATGGAACACTATGAACAAATGGCATAGCAAACGGCCACAAAGAAACCTACTTGTTAGTTTCGCTATGTAGATTACACTTTTGCTGTTTGGAACCATAGACAGGCAGAGCTCGAAAACTTCTTTAATCATCTAAACTCAATAGAACCCAGGATACAGTTTACGATGGAAGTTGAGAAGAACAACAAAATTGCATTCCTCAACGTCCTCTTAGAAAGATTACCCTCAGGGAAACTGGGATACAGAGTATACAGTAAGCCGACGCATACGGACTACGGACAGATACCTCAACAAGGAAACCAATCACCATGCTAGGCAAAAGAGGAGAGTCATTAAAACTTTATCTGACAGGGCAATCCGGATTTGTGAATACCTTCAGGACGAGATGCAACACCTAAAATCAGCACTTGAAGGAAATGGGTACGCCAAGCAGGAGATAAATAGAGAATAAGACTGATGCAACTGCGCACAAATGATAAGGAACCAGCACAGGTGGCAGGGAGAGCCTCTCTTACCTACATCCAAAATGTCACAGATCGCATAGGACGAACGCTAGAAAAACACAACATTAAGCCCATCTACAAGCCCACAAGAACAATTCAGCAAAGTCTAAGATCGGCCAAGGATCCTAGGGCACCTCTTGAAACGGCTGGCGTCTATAGAACTTCCTGCTCTTGTGGATCTGTCTATGTAGGAGCAACCGAACTCTCTATCAACACCAGGGTCAAAGAGCACAAAAGAAACTATCAGCAGGAACAAATGGATAGATCAGCAATCGCCGAACACGTGTTAACACAAATAAACCATGTCATTCGTTTCGACCAGACTAAGCATTGGATAGGAGCAAACATTTTTACACCAGGCTCCACAGAGAAGCCATAGAGATACAGAAACACCACAACAACTTCAACAGAAAAGAATAGGGCATGAACCTTAACTAAAGCTGGTTACCAGTTCTCCGAAAAACAAAGACCCTTCCTTTCCGAAAACGAGACAAGGAAAATAGCGTAATACAAGCCACGCTCACAACCCTGGATATAAATAACGCAGGTCCAACAACGTCGAATCCAGTCATCGGTGGAACACGGAAGAGATCACTTCGTTCTCTACCACACCGTCTCTGACGGTGTCTATCGCAGTAGTAGACGAAACGTTAGGTAGAAATATTAGTCGACCACGGCAATAATGAGAAAACAAACTAGAACCAGTCAGAATTCAGCAACAGCTTGCAAATGTGGGTGTGACCATCCCTATTTTCTCTTCCTAAAGTCCTACATATTGTGGTTAGAAATTCGAATAGTCTTTTTCTTATAAATTTACGTTTATTCCAGAAAGTGGAATACCTATCATTTTTCCAGATAAGATCTGCCAGAGACACTGATCTAGACGCAAAAAATCCATATAAGTAGCCTCTAGAAACAAACTGGCCCTTATAGTTGCAAAAGAGCTAAAAATAGCCTTAAGAAGGTATTGATGACTGAGCTTATCTTTTGCAACTATTATTATGCGGTTTCGTTTGCCCCTTGGTTCATATTTCTGGCAGCTACAAAATGCCTTAGAACCCTCAGTCTAACAATATTACACTATAAAAATTATTTGGTTGAAAATATTTACCTTAATAAACAAGGAACTGTAACTGCAGGAGAAACGGCTGCTGCGACAGAACCTAAAGCGAATGCGTAGTCCCATGGAATTCCTAAGAAATAATAGCTCCCAACAGCTACCACGATAGCTTCGATCAACCATGGCCCCAAGCCTAGCTTGATTACTGACCATTTGAGTCTGCGTAGTGCCGATGGGTCTAAATCCAGACCAGCTCTTATCAGGATGATTACCAACGCCATTTTTCTAGAAAATAATGTATGTATGTATGTATGTATGTATGTATCCAATCTGTTCCAATATTTTTGATTTGGATTTCCAAAAACTCTAATTCTATTACAGATAGAAAGCGTAAATCTTATCCTCGTAGCGGACTATAATCCAGACTTCAAGTTCCAGAAATGGGCAGCTTTTTTTTTTCAAAGATTTGGCAGTTTTTGATTTAAAAAACTGTGATGAAAATAAGAAATTCTCACCTCAATTGCTTGGTAATAGGATAAAACGAAGCATCAATATCAACAAGATGTACGTTTTGCATCAGCATTCCAGTGAAAAGCATCCCAATCAGTCCAGGTAAAGTAGTGAGGCTCACCAGCCATCCTCCAAACTTGCCCGCTAAGACCAGCACTAAAAGTTGGAAGAGTTGGCCGTTGGGTGGTGCGGCCAAAGGACCGACAATGGTATATAAAATACACCAGGCCACCACTCCGAGAACGACCAGAGCCAGTAGACGGGCGAAGCTCCGGTAAACCGGACAAAACGGGTAGGGGCAAAGGTAGGACCAATATTGGGGTTCCCAGGATTCTGGAGTTGATTCCTTCGAGCGACATTTGAGGCAGAATGCGTACCACCAGGACCTAGAAAAAAATTATTGATCTTTTTTTTTTTATCAATTATTAATTTTTAAGCTAAATTAGTTAGATATGTTAATTCAGAAAATGTACGTTTATTACATATAGGCTCCATAAAAATGAGATAATCACATCTTATTAGAATAACTACTGTCTGATATCTTTGCAATATTGCAATTTATTTAGTTACCTTGACTCTCTTCGATCAATTACTATTGATTTCGTATTTTATAGCCTCCAAGTTCAATACTTTACAACATTTTCTTCCATCTGATTGTAAAAGGTATTGTGGAATTTTTTAATGTCTGTACACACAAATTTATATTCCATTAACATTAGAAAAAAATAGGTTCTTACCTTGGATTGTCATCTCCGTTGTCCGAGAACCTGGTCTTGGAATTCTTGGAGGTTGTAGATATTTGAGACAAGCTTCTGGTGAACTTATTGACATCAGTTTTCCCAGATCCTTGAATGTCGTCATCTAAAAATAGACTGATTGTAATTTTGAGATTATTGAGACAGTTTTCGGACAATTTCTTGTGTATTTTCATACTTTCTATTAGTTTTGTGTCAAAAACCAAATGATTTACTGCTGTATTAATAACATCAAATTATTATTTTTAACAGTAAAATCAAAGATTCGTATAATGATAATGTATTGTAATACATAATGCAGTTGTTTGTTTGTGGTTTTCAACAATTTTTTTCTTTTGCTTTTTAATTGTCTTGTTTTTTTTTAAAGTACTTCTATCCTTTCTTGTTTTATAATAAATTTCTTAGAAATACTCACAAAGAAAGTCCCAATCTTTTAATAACATACATTTTGAAACATTTTATTTCATGTTTTCCAAATTCAATATTTTTCCATTATATAAGTACTATTGAAAACTTAAGTTCAATTGCATAAAATATAAGCTCTTCCACCAATAATCTAGAATTACCTACCTAAGATAACACTCAGATACTGGTGGTAGGTAATGTGCAATTATTTTCTATACTAAGTAGATATTTCAGATGAGTGATTTCCTACGAGGTAAAGTGATCGTTTCCGGACAATTTAAAATTAATAATAATTATAAAATAAAACTTGACAATTTTGTTACCTAGTCCAACACGTGTATAAACCATCTTCAAATGGCTAGACTTGTTCATGTTGTGAATATTGGTCAAAGACGGATGCTTCATGGTACTAACTTTAACACTAGACTAACAGCTTAAGACATAATATCGACCGAATAACGCAATTTTTTTTACAGTACCTCATTGTACCCGAAGAATGGTATAAGGTCATATGGAGGGGTACCAAACCAAACATCAATGCAGTTGATGTTAAGATAAGTGAAAGTGAATTTCTATTATGCCATTTATTTTACTCAAGATTGATCGATGAATCATTGTCAAATAGGATATTTTTTCAAGGAATTATGTTAAGTGTACCATAACTCAATACAATTTTTTGGTTTGCAAATTTAGCTGTGTTGGAACTAAATGAGTTTGTCTTGATGATGTTATTATATAACTAAAATAACAAAATAACCAATTTAGAAGATGGTCATGCTTTAGTAGTAGGTATGTATCAGCAGAATAGGAAATATTTCATATAAAATACAAATATAAGCAATCCAGCGCCTCAACGGTTAACATGAAAGCAAAATTCCCTATTTGCTAACCAATTAAAACTATTAAATTTTGATTGAATAAATAACACACTTGAGAGAAGCCAATAACGATAATCCATTAACATACTATTCATTGTTTGATAGGCCATGAATCAAAAGTAAATAAAGCCTAAATTGACTTTGATCTTTTCATTAAGGGACATGTGATCCAGACTTAGTAGTAAATATTGCTACGTTTTTAAATTTTCCATACAACAATTTTTGAAGGATTCAACTACATTTTGGACAAGGTAAAATCACTTGAGAGCTTTGTTTATTATCATAAATTCTATTATTGTTCCAAAGTAGTTTAGTTAGTTATATATTTGGAATCCTGAATGTGACTTATAAGTATGAGACAATATCCAAAAGTATCTACATAATAATCACTTCAGGGACGTCTTCATTTAAAATTAGAAATTTCCAGAAACTTCAATTCTGTAGCATAAAACTATAATCATTAGAATCTTTGGTGCAATTTTTTTGACTAAGAATCACTGTCTAGTGAGCAGAAAACATTTTGACACAAAAATTTTAAAATACAATACAAATAAAAGGCAACAAAATTATGAAAGTTCGAAAATATTCAAACTCCCAAACAAAAATCCAAAAGTGACCAAAATAAGAAACAACTAAACTATCGGTCACGGTCATAGTAGTAATTTATTTTATTCTAAAAGCAAAATTTTGATCTGACCATGACCATAATATAATATTTGAAAAAGCAATGTTACTTTTTCACTAAAATAAATAATTAAGTTTGTTGAACTTAAATTTTGATCAAAATGAGGTTTTTTATTATGGCATCAGCGTCTAAACCTCAAGTGGGTTGTATAAAAACAAAGTTGATTGGTATATTAAACAATTAAATTGGGATGTGCTTATAGTTTTTCTCATAATTGGTTAATTATTTTTTGGAACGATATTGTGATTGAAATAAATGATGACGACTGGATTTTACGCCATCAAAAATTTAAATGTTTTGGGACGAAAAGTTGTTCGTTTCTCATTGAAAATCAACAAACTCGAAAATAGCTTTATTATCTTAAAACATTCCATGTTGTTGACACAGCCATACTAAAATAAGTGCTTAAAAACTTAAACATTATTTAAAATACAAATCGTAGCAGACTAATTTAAAAAAAGTGGAACTGTGAGGTATATAAAAAAATAAATAAATAAATAAAACAGAAAAATACAAAGTCAAAACAAAATACAGAATATAAACTTCACAGACAATCTATGCTAATATAATAGGTAGGTAACTATATAAAAATTTATAATTGACAAAAACCTCTATAAAAACTAAGGTTGCCGGACGGCAGAATATACTTTCCAATCAAAAATAACAGACAGGAAAAATAAGGTTAGATAAAAAAAATACAAAAATAAATTATGTATTATAACGAGTAAGTTCCTACATTGGCAGTCTGGCAGAAACTGAGCCGCAGTCGAAGAGCGCGTATCTATATTTTTTTAACTAGGTATAGTTATAGTTACACCAATATATCAGTATAAAATCCATCCAGGTTGTAAAAGACCAAAAGACCTTATTCATCAAAAGATTCTTAAGACACACTCTGAATGATTTTATGGACAGCATCTGACTTTGCGAGGCAAATGGCTGTATATCTTTCATAATCTTTCTTTCCTCATACATTAAAGACCTCTGGGTCAGTGCGCTTGCCGGAATAGGGAGACGTACAGGCTGGCCCAAAGCTCGGCGTGTTTCATATAAGACTCCCTCTATACCGATTTTTGTACACCAGGGAAGCGATGTAATTGTCAATATACACTGGGACCGAAATAATGGCCTACAAGTGTCCCTCTGTGAAGCACCAACAATAATTCGAATAGCCTTTTTTTGCAGACGAAGCAACATATCAAGAAGAGAGCGAGTGCTCGCACCCCAAAAAAGAATTCCATATCTCATATGAGACTGAAATAGAGCAAAGTACACTCTTCTAGCCATGGCTGAACCAAGCTCGCAACGCACTGTTCTTATTGCGAAGCACGCCGACGACAATTTCCGATAAAGCCCCAAAATGTGTTCCTCAAACCGAAGACCGTTATCAATGGTAACACCGAAAAATTTACTCGAGACTTCTTGCTGCAGTGGCTCACTGACCATCTCAACTCCATGAATCTCACCCTTGAATCCCACTATGCTATTAAAACTGAGTCGATTAGCATCAAACCAATTCTTAATCGCCTGCAGATTCGCAGCCATATCCTCTCTCAAGCCAGGCAGATTTGCAGGTTGCCAGACAACAGAAGTATCGTCGGCAAACATGGTAAAATGCCTAGAGATTCTAATCAGCACCAGATCGTTCACATAGATCAAGAAGAGAAGCTGTCCCAACACAAATCCCTGAGGAACACTACAGCTCACTGCACCTGGTGTTGACTTAACCCCTTAAGCCGCCACCGACTGAACGCGTCCCTCCAGGAGGAGACAAACTAAGCAAGAGCATTGCCCTTAAACCCATATCGCTCAAGTTTTGCCAGCAGTATTCCATGGTACACGGAGTCAAATGCTTTAGAAAGATCACAGAACACTGCCGCTACCACCTCACCTCCATTAATACTCAAGTAGACACAGTCAAGAAAATTGCATCATGGGTACCCAGAGAAGCCTGAAAACCAAATTGTTGGGAGGTTATTAGCTCATTTAGAGAAAGATAGTCCCACATTCGCCCTTTTACTATCCTTTCTATAATCTTTGACAATGTGGACAGTAAGAAAAGGGCGAAAGTTTGAAGGGTCATCCAGATCTCCTTTCTCGTTTAATGGAACCACAAAACTCCCCACGACCATCCCACCACTGCCTTTTTTGTTTTTAATATCTCGAAGAGCGTCTGTAATTTCATGTATCATATAAGGCCAAATGAACCCTGGACCGATAAATATGTAAAAAAAGTGATTGGGTCGGTGTCCGTTGGTAGATTCTCAGTCAACTTAGCCGCCATTCCACAATAGTACTCATTCAATTGCTGCGATCCTATCTTAATCTCCAAGTGACCACTACGTTTTTTTCGATTACACAACTCGTTAACGATTACCAACCTTTTTTTTGCTTGTTGTGGACATTATTCAGTCTACTGGAGTAAAATTGATCCTTAGAAATCCTAATCAGCTTACGCAACTGTGTTGCAGTATTAATTACAGTAAAGTGACGGGCACAAATTGAAATCCGCGACCCCTACTAGCAGTTTTCATAAGAATTTGTATAATAAACAATTAGACTTTTGACAAAATGCCGATATTTTCTAACCTATGGACGAGAATATGCGTTATTTTTTTTATTTTGTTTACATTTCACTCGTATTTCAAGAAATGGAGTTGGAAATAAATGTTTCTTTCCAAAATATAGAATGTATCCACCACGAAGCTGAAAAATGGATAGTTAGGGGTCAAATAAAGAATCAGTCTTGCCGTTCAATTTGAGATTGCGCAAGCAAGTTGCTCAACATGACGGAAGGTCTACCCTGGCGTTAAGATTATATTGGGCTTTTGTCAAAATGCCAATTGTTTATTACACAAATTCTTTTGAAAACTGCCGCTAGGGGAATTTGTGACCGGCGCCTATTCGATGAAAAACGCATTATTACCCGCAAACTTTTTCAAGCTACTCAACGAACGATTTTTCTTCGAATACACCCTCAATCCCCTGGTCAACCATGGCTTATACTTTCTGTTCCCAGTATTAATCCATCGTCCTCGAAAAACTCTGTTGAACTGATCCAAAAGTGCTGAATAAAATCTGGTCAACGGCTCGGGGTAGTGACTGGATCTCCCACCAATTCACATACGAACTGAGTTG